CAGTAATTACAGTTCTTGGTGTTCATGTCACCAGTTGCTTGAAAAACGATGTTAACGTGCCAGGAGGAAGAACAAATATATGCTCACAACTTACTGTTGTGTTCAAATACATTTTTCAATGATTGTGGGAATTAAGATAGCTTTTAATAAGATAATTAATCTTGTGATATGAAAATAAGACCATTTCTAAAAGGCTGTAACGTAAAACAATCATCACTGCATCTCCTATTGTGGCTGACCAGCAGGGGAGCTTTTTGTTCCAGTGGAAGGTCTGTGTGTTACAAATACATTCTACCAAGAAAGAAGAAGAACCGTGGGTGGTTATGTTCAAGGTTTTGACATTGTTGAAGCTATCATACGGGGGCTGAGTAAAATATGTCAATAAACCCAGCAAAATATGTTAGCTTTAACCTTTGTCTTATGACTAATCATTAAAAATAGCATGATGTCAATATTATGTTAAAATTCCACGAAAAATTGATTTTGGCTCAAGCTCAGGACCTCACATTTATGTGTAAGCCACTGGGATCTCAGGAGTAAAATGAGAAATGGCTTATGTTACCAAACCCTGCTATACAGAACCTGTTTTCAAATGATAGTGTACTTGGATGTTTCAGTGTTTTGGGTAGGATTGATTAATCGATGGAGCATCATACATTAACCTTTTCTTATAGTGTACTTTACAAATCACATTATAGTGGGCGACTACTTGCTGTAAAAAAGAGGGACCTGCTTGAGCTATTTCAACTGGAAAGTGTAAGATCAGCAGATGATCAGCGTGGTTTCTGACCTCTGGTCAGAAGCTGCTGCATTTTTTTGGTAGCGATGGGGAAGAGATTTAATTAACAGATTCCATTGGCAAGTAATAACTAAAGTGTTGCAGCTAACAGTTGCCTGCTTCTAATCCACCCTACCATCGATGGGCGAGCTACCAGCCATTGTGTGGAACTTCATCCCGTGTCCTTCTGCCTTCTTCCTCTCTCCCTCCCCACTTTCAAAGCCTGCCTTGACTTCTGCTCTAAAAAGGAATTGAAAAAAAAGATTTGCTAACTCAGCGCAGACCAGGGATCGAATCTGGGACTTTTCTGGTCTGCACAGTTCAAGTCCACTTTGAAAAATGCTTTTACCAACTGAACCATAAGTAGACCCCACTTCATCTTCTTTGTTAGTTGCAAACAAGGAAGCAGACACCAGTACACACACAGCAGTACTTGAGTTCATGGCTGCTGTAATAATAATGATAATAATGTGCATTTGGCAATACTGAAGAGATCAGTTGGCAGACAGCTTAAATTCAATGACATTTTACAATAAACAGAACTTTGAGCGGATTTTAGTTTTGGGTTCCATTTGTATTGTTTGGAGGATCCTTTAGCTGAGGCCTTGCTTTTGATTTACTGCTACTGAACTGAAGCCGATTATTTGCAGTCAGAACTTGTTGAGATGACTATGTTAAGACTGAGAACTTAAAGACAACATAATTTCATTTTGTAAATTCCGTCCGAGAACGTAAATGATCCTAATCCTTGTTCAATGTGAAAATTCAAAACGAGGACTAACATGAGACAGATGGATGCTTCTCTTTTAAGTATTAAGAATGTAATCTGCCTTCAGACTAAATAGTTTGCAAGACAAAAGTTAAATCCTTGTTTAAGTTTTCAATACAAAACTCTAGTAGCAGGCATTTATATTTTGCTGTAGGAAAGATCATATTACTGAATGGTTTTGAAACTTAAATGATTATATGCATGCAATATTAATGCCATCAGTTACAAAAACACACATGATATCCAATTTCCTTTAAAGCAGCTCCTGTGGGCACTGACAATAGCCATTAGTAGGATAAGTCAATTTTACCTTTATATTAGCTAAATGTGTCTTGTCCTATCTTTTTTTAACGCAGTTCAGAATTTTGACTTGCGTATTTAGATCCGTAACCTTTTGGCTTCACTTCTTTCCACTGTTCAGCGAGAACTTGCTCTTGTAACATTAATTTCCAATCTATTGCTTTATGTTGAATGTTTTCTAAGAAATTTATAATGTGTTCTTTGATCTCAGTGTCTTTACTGGAAAGCAATCTGACTGGTTTGCCGTATCCTAATTAAGAGATAACTCTCAGAAATGAACGACACATTAAAAATTCAGACCTGAACAATCACTCAACCCACGACTGTAAAGCATACTTGGCAGGAGAGCAGCTAAGCTTTAATTACTTGCTTGAATACTGTACCATCCTTCGAATGAGACATTAACCTGTACAGGTGGGTATTAAAAGGCTCAGTTGTACAATTTGCAAAGAGAAAGGAGTTTCTCCTGGACCAACAATTCCCCCAAATAAAATTGGCCGTTCATTCCAAGGCTGGCTGTGGGGACATTGCTGCAATCAATTACTTAGTTGCTACACTTAACAGAAAAATGCTTTGTGAAGCACTTTATTTTTGAGGTTTAATGAAATCAAATTGCAAGGATTATAGTAAACACAATTGCAAATTGCACAGAGCGCTGCCGTCTGTGACTGCTTTGTGACCGACTACCCAATGAAGCAACCAACTTTCAGCGTGTTCACCAAGTCCTGCTGCACCGTTTTTTTTCCTTCACAATGAATTTTTATTTTCTGTTGCAGATGAGCAACAATGTCTGATAACAGTATTTCCTTGTCACTTCATCCATGTTATGGAAGACGTTGCACCGAATATGGCGACGGGTCATTATCTGCCATGAAAATGAAAGCTCTCTCGCACACCGATTCTCTTGACAATCTACATACAGTTAAACACTTGTACTGAATACAATTCTCATTGTCCTTCCACATGTTTCAATTGTTAGTCAATGCACTGTAGAACAAAATGTGGGGTTAACAGGACTTTGTGTACTTGTCAGTCTCAGTCTGCTTGGTTGTCTACCTGTCAGTCTCAGTCTGCTTGTTTCTCTATGATTGTCAGTGCCTGTTTCTCTCGGAGGGTCCGTCTGTGCCTTTCAGTTTCTGATGTCCGTCTCTCTCTGTCTGTCTGTCAGTCTCCATCGACTGAGACTGGTGGCAAGAGAGAGACAGGCACTGACACTCAAGAGAGAAACAAGCGGACTGAGACTGACAAGTACACAAAGTCCCGTTACCCGCATATATTGTTCCACAGTTTCGAGACGTCTCGAAGACGTGATAAAGGGCTACATCAAAATGCAAGGATTGTTAATACTGCGGCGCACTGACTAACTCCTGAAACACGCAGAAGAGCGATGATAATTGTATTCAATTGGCTGCCGCGTTTCGCCCACAAATACACAGTCAATTCACTTTACAGTCTGTCCTGCGAAGCGCTTTGAGACGTCGAGAAGATGTGAAAAGCGCTATATCAAATGCACGGATTGTTATTATCAGTGTCTGTCTATCTGTCTGTCTGTCTGTCTGTCTGTCTGTCTGTCTGTCTGTCTGTCTGTCTGTCTGTCTGTCTGTCTGTCTGTCTGTCTGTCTGTGTGTGTGTGTGTGTGTGTGTGTGTGTGTGTGTGTGTGTGTGTGTGTACTTGGGGTCCAACCCAACTGTGTTCATTCAGTTCAGCTCAGCGGCGGCGGGAGGACCTTGGCGGCTTCTCCACCCCGAGGTGGCGCTGTCCGCGCTCGCTCGCCGCCGGGCGGCTCGGAGGGAAGGTGGTGGCGGGGCGACCGATCCGATGGACCCTCGTTGGCAGCGCGAGGACTTCCTGGAGACAGCGCGAGCGACCGACAGACAAACCGTCAACGACGGTTCAAATCGCTGCTAACGTTCCGACCGGCGCCGAGGATCAAAGCCTTTCCCCTCTCCACCACCGCCCCGTCTCCTCCTCCTCCTCTCCGGTTGCTGGCGGCCGGATTCCGATGGTCACCTTGGTGACTCGGCGCTTCTTCTTGTTGTTTTTGAGGGAGGGAAGGTAGGAAAGAGAGAGAGAGAGAGAGGGGGGGGGGGAGAGAGGCGCTTTTTTGGGGGCCGAGAACATGTGAGGAGGAGGAGGAGGAGGAGAAGAAGGGAGAGAGGGGGAAAAAAAGAAGGCCGAGAAAGAAAGAGAGAGAGAGAGAGAGAGAAGCCGGGTGTCGGGGTGGGTGTCGGGGTGGTGGTGGGGGAGAGAAAGTGAAGGAGACTCCGGCGGGTTTCCTGACGACGTGAGCGGGGCTGACAGCCCGAGAGGGAGAGGCCCGCGGACAGAGACACAGAGAGAGAGAGACACACACACACACAGAATTGGTGTAAAAGTGCCGTCAGAAACAACGAACCCTTTCCTCCCCCCCACTCCCCCCCCAAGAAAAAAACTCCTCAGCCTTTACTTAGCTTTCCTTCCTCTTGCAAGAGGCGCCACGTCACGGCTGCTCCCGCGGGGCAGGCGCTCTCTTTCCCCCCCGTCTGTCTGCCTGTCTCTCTCTCTGTGGCTGAATCTTGTCCGTGTCTCAAGTCTCCGTCTGCCTGTCTGCCTCTGCCTGTCAGACCCAGTCTGTCTGAGTCTGTCTGTCTGTCTGTCTCCCTGATTCTCTTGTCTCTTTCTGTCCTGTCAGACCCAGTGTCCCCGATTGTCTGTCCGTCCGTCCGTCTCAGTCTGTTTGTCTGTTTCTCTCCTCGAGTGTCAGTCTGTGTCCCTCTCTTGACAGTCAGTCTCAGTCGCCTGTTTCTCCCCGAGGCTCAGTCTGTGGCTTTCAGTCTCTTGTCTTGTCTGTCGCTCCCTGTCTCTGTCTCGGTGCCTGTGGAGGCTGTTTGGGGCCCTGTTGCAGCTCAGCTGATGTTTTCTTAACTCTTTTTAACTTTCTTTTTTTTTTGTACATTTGCATTTTTTTTTTTTGGGTTTGCCATTATCGCTGGAAAAAAAAGTATCCCGGAGGGTTTTTTGTTTTACATAAGTGAAACTTCAAAAGAACCTGATTTCCTTTCTCGACCCGTTTCTTTTGGGTGGATGTTATTTGCCTTTCTCGGCCTTTTTGCTTTGATTGTGTTGCAATCGTTATTGTCCTTTGGATGTTTTGAGCAGAATTGTTTTGCCCCTCAAGAGAGTTTTGTTTTGTAAACTCACTCTTGTTTTGTTTTGTACATTTCAGTCAGCATTTGTTTTGTTTTAAGAAAAACACCCGTTTTGGTTAGGTATAACTTCAGCCTTCTTTCAGTCTGATCAGTATTACTATTGTTACCTCTCTGCTTTGTTGTTTCACTGTGTAAAAACTGATTCTCTATATCACAAAATGCCACGGATCGTATTTTAAAACTTTTTTTTTGAAGGTTCCAGTGACATGACTTCAAGGCCTCTCAGTAGAATTCAAGATTAGAAGTTGCAAGCAGCATTTTGGAACTGCATTTCACCTTCCCAAACCCTTAAAACGTTGACTAATTACAGATGCTTCTGAGCTTTATAAACTCGTGAGAGACCATCTTCAGTTTAGCATTTAAAGTAAAGACTAGTTACTGTGGGTTCTGTCAGTATCAGGGAAAAAGTTCAGAAGGAGTCCTTTTTTCTTGTATTCCCCTCTGCCCTCCTTGTTTCTCTGAATTTTTGTGAGATCTTACCCTGAAAACGAACTAAAAATGACAGCATCAAATTGGGGTCTGATCATGAACGTGGTGAACAGTATTGTGGGAGTCAGCGTTCTCACTATGCCGTTCTGTTTCAAACAGGTGAGTCTGGAATTGAGACAGTTTGTAAGGCTGATGATGTTTGCACCACTATTGCAGCAAATAGTGCCTTGAAGACATTGCTACTGTATGTAAAAGTCTGGTCTACTAATAATAGAGCTTTATTTAGCTTATTCACTTCGCTGTATTTATTTCAAAATATGAGCACCAACATCTGGGCCTAAAAACTTGAGCTACCATTAGTGCTATCACTGAAATACCGTTCTGCATTGTATGAAAATATACACGGACCCTCTTTCTTACAGTGCCTTTCACATCGGTAGGATGTCCTAAAGAGCTTCACAAAATAAACTGTAAAGTGCAAGTGACTATTTTGTGCTTCTTGTCCATGTTCTAAGAGTTGTTTCCTCAGTCAGTGAAGTAACTTTATGTCTGCCAGCAAAAACAGAAGCTCCTGGGAACACTCAGCAGGTCAGGCAGCATCTATGGAGAAAGGAAAGTGAGTCACTGTTTCGGGTCCATGACCCTTAGTCAGAACTCGATGAAGGACTTGCTGAGTGTTCCCAGTGACTTCTGTTGTTTTCAGATTTCCACCGTTTGCAGTATTTTGCGTTTTGTTTATATCTGCCAGTGTGGGGCTAGAGCACAATGATAATTATGAACTGAATATATTACAATGTTATGATTGTGACATAATTCCCTGGTTTTCAATTTGTGTTGCAGTTGTACAATGAATAATAATACAATAATACTTTCATTTGACATAGCGCCTTTCACTTCAGGAGGACATCCCAAAGTGAATGCTTCACAGGATTTACATTGTAAAGCACAGTGACTGTTTTGTGGGTGAATAGTTTTAATTTGCAAAATAAAGAAAAAGATTATTTTATAAATAACTGAAGTACCTATACTTGCTGATAGGAAAGCTGTTTCTCCTGTATTATAATCATAATTCAGTAATCCCAGGACCAGAAACTATTGTTGCATCCTTGCTCATCTACCTGCTTATTTTGTTAATTTTGCAAAACAGCAACAATTTAAAAATCCTTCATATACTGAATGTGTGTTAGCACATTAAAATTTATGAAATTCCAGTTTGTTTATAAATTATATAATTTCTAGATTTGGAATGCAACTAGAACACTGGCCATTGAAGTGACAAAAGTGCAATGTCATTCAGGTTTTGTTTAGTCCCAAAATGAAAGTTGTCACCTTTCCTGTTTTAGCCTGTAACAAGTCACCTAGGATTTCCCTTGCTTGCTACTTGTGACATGCTTAATGCCTAGCTTATGTTGTATTTATTGTGTCAGGCAGTGGAATAAAACACAGTATAAATTGAGGATGGATTGATTTTCACTTATTTATATGAAACTAAGAGATGAGAATTGATCTGAGCTTTGCTCCAGTGGACTGCTCAAGAACTTTCAATCTTATTAAAGAATCAGTTGAGTTGTCTGACTTTCTTTAATAGCCTTGAGAAAAATGAACACCTGTTGGTGGAGCTCTGAGTAGGACCTCCTCAGCACTGGGCAATGTGATTGAGAATGGATGGTATATATCAGACTTCTCTCTCCCGATTACCCTTCTGATGGAAAATACAGTCAATCCACTTTTGCAGTATATCCTATGAAGCGCTTTGAGACGTTCTCAGGTACTACATCAAATGCAAGGATTATTATATCGCTTTTCTGCCAGTATAAACGCATAAACGCCAACATTTGTGCAAGACTGAGCAAATTGCATGCCTCAAAAAGCATTGTGAGTGACTCAAATAGGACAAAAAAACAAGCATGTAACAAAAGGTTTGGTAGGTTTTCAAACATTGTTTAGCGGAGAAAATGACAAAGGATGGATAATTGTTTTAAACAGGAATTCATATGTGCAATTGTCTCAATTGTGTATCTTGTAACAGTTGAGTTTTCAAACGTTCCCTATTATCTGTGCTACCTGGGAGTGATTACAAAGCAGCATCGTGATTGTGAAATTTTATAATGTGTAAAAATGTCTGCAACATTTGTTCAAGACTGTGAGCAACCTTTGTTACCTTGAGATTAGAGTGCAGCCTTGAAATAATTCCTTGATGTAAATTGAAGCGTGCTTATACTTCTGAATTGTATATTTACTTAATAATAATCCCTCCAAAACCAAAAACAATAATAAATTGGTCATTTTCAATCTACGACTGTTTGTGGGACATTGCTGTGCGCAATTGGCTGCCGCGTTCGCCCACAAATATACAGTCACTTCACTTTACAGTATATTCTGTGAAGCGCTTTGGGACGTCCTCCCGACGTGAAAAGCGCTATATCAAATGCAAGGATTATTATTTATTATTATAAGTGATAATGGTTATTATGGAAATGCTCCCAGAGTTCAGAAAGTTGTTTTCTCACAATTCGAATTCCTGAATTAGATTTTAACCAGGAAATTACATCTATCTTCGTTTATAGTGTATATTGCTCTGTTTTATGTTTTCTCACTTTTCCTCTGGCAATGGCCAGTATGCTGTAATCTCAAAGCGCTTCACAGGATATACTGTAAAGTGGACTGACTCCGTATTTTGTGGGCGAAATGGTGTGGTAATTTACTTCTTTTTCACTGGGCTGAATTATTGATGTGTACTTTGAAGTGATTGATATTTGTAGTGTGGAATCAATTCTGATCTGAAACATGACTGCTCATTTTTATATCGCCAATGAATAACTTATCTCCTTACTTATCTCTTCTTGTAGTGTGGGATTGCACTAGGTGTCGTCCTACTCTTTTTCTGCTCCTGGATGACTCACCAGTCCTGTATGTTCCTGGTGAGGGCAGCGAACACCAGCAAGCGAAGGACGTATGCTGGCCTTGGTAAGAAACCCTGTGTTAGTGCTTTTTGCATCCAAAATGAAGTTGATTGCACTTTCTAGAAATTAGAGACTGCATCAGAAAATAGAGACTTTTCACTACCCCTGTTTTGAAGGTGGTTTGCAATGCAGTTTGAAGCCTAGGCTATGCCAAGGTCACTGCCTGAGGCCAGGAAAGCAACTCCTGTCAGGAGCAAAATTGGTTTTAAAGTTACAGAAAGTGAATTGTCTTAGAATGTATGTAAGACTGTGCAAATAAGTTAACTGAAACAATTAATGACTGCAAAATTACACCTTTTTATCGGAATTGATACACTGCCAGATATTCAAGACCTAGAAAAGTCCGAAACTAATAAATATTTCATCTGGCAAAATTATGACCCCGTTTAATAGAGTTTGTTCCTGCTGCACGTTTTGTGGTGCTGTGCTGGGGAAAGTGCCATATAAATTGGGAGTTAAGCACCATATTTGGCGTACTTATTATGATGACCCAATGTGGAAAGGCACTGATTGGTGCAGCACTAGGTCACCCACACCAGAAGCTGCTCTTGGAGGCACCTTTATTTTGCAATCTGCTGTGTGAACTCGGCAAGTGAGAATTCGCCCACAAAATACATCGTCAATTTACTTTATGCTTTGAGGCAACAACAAGATTACATTTAGAGACGTCTTAATGACGTGATAAGGTCGCTATATCAAATGCAAGGATTATTATTATTATATGACAAATTCTCTAACACCCCACCACCACCTTCTAATTTCTCAATTCAAGAAACTGGTATTCCGTGATTCTGTTCCCACCTCAATGGCAACCAGAAAGGTGGTCTGCATACAGTCTTGTGTGAGTGCTCTGTTAATATATTGTGTATGTATTAACATCACAGAAGATAGCAATTAGTTTTTTGTTGACAAGCTAGAGCGATTGCAACATTGCTGATTTATATTTTTTAATTCAAATTCATGTGAGTGTTTGTGAATCAGTTTATGTAGGCGTGACTCTTAGAAGAGAAAATTAAATCCATTCGATGAAGTACATAATCACCAATATGTTCTTACCCAATGTTCCTCCTTCGTCTTAAATGTTCTTTCAAACTTAAAAAATTGGACACTGGGAGCTGCAGCATGGCAGGAATCTATTGGTGTGGATATTTCTCTGTGGAATTACCTTCTCCTTTAAATCGTGCTTAGAGCTCAGTGTTTTCATCCCAAAATTTGGTAATTAAAGAAAATTAATCCCTATTCTAACATCAGATATAGGCAAGCCAGTTGCTGGATTTAAGGGATTTGAATGTTTTGAAGTTCTTTTCCTTTCCCTCAACCCCAATTACTGTGCAATGATTTATTCTCCAACAGTGAAAAATAAATTAAAATCAAGTGTAAATGCTTGCCGTTATTGTGCTTTCTTATCTGTTGCCTTTTTAAATTTCAGCTTTTCACGCTTATGGAAAAGCAGGAAAGATGCTGGTAGAAATGAGGTGAGTTTAAAATATCGTATGTTTTTTAAAACCTAGTGCTCTTTCATGGTTCATAGCATTTCAAATTGGTTAGAAACAAAAGCCGCGTGATGTCACTTTGTACTGGCCAGTAATTTGGTTTAATACAAAATAAGAAAAGATTGTAATTGATTCCGATCAACTATGGTCTCCTTGATTTTTGTCTCACCAATTCCTCTAAGCCCATTCAGAATTTTATAAAATGTCATGACACCTGTGTAAAATTAAAAATGTATCTACATTTTTACCAAACGTGACAAGTTATTTACCATGATCACTCTGTGGGTTTATTTTGAAAATTGATACAGTTGGAAGCTATTGCAACATTGGACCATTTCCAGTTCATGAAAAGAAACTGCACTGCCAATGTTTTACCACTAGATGTTGCGGGCTTGCTTAGTTAGCAAACGTATTTGAGATACAGAATCTTAAAAACTGGGTATCTCACCCCTTGATTTTCTCTTCAGTAGTCGTTTCCGTTTTATTTGTTTTGCAATTCATAACACTTAACCCTTCACACTGAATTTTCCAGAAATCCATGCTTTTTCCCAGATGTGACAATTAATTCTGCTCCAGTCTTCCTGAACTTGTGTTGGGCAAGTCACCTCGGCAGATTCCAATATTATGCAAGTCGACGACTTTACCAGGGCTAAACAGCATTAAGCACGTAACTAATGAGCTCTGATCCTGGACAGATAAGGGTTAACATTTAGATCCTGTTAGTAGAGCTGTGATCACATTACTCCAGAGGTCTTTTACAATTTAAACTGTAATTTTTCAGTCCTGACATTTAATCCATGCAGCCGAATAATTGTAGAGCCCTGTTCTTCACTAATTATAGACTTCCTTTCTTCAATAATTAGGGTGTAATTGACTCGGTCTGAAAGGACAGGTTTCAACTGCTTGGCATCTTTTTCTACATCTTCAATTGAAATATTGTGAAATTTCAGCTTCAAGAAAAGCTTGTGGTTTTAAATAGCATTTTATAACTCAGTGATTTTCCTAATCTTTTGCTATTAATGATGTGTAATAAAACTACTAGTTAATTACTCGTAGTGTTTTGTGTATATGGCTAATTCTTTTCATGATGGGAGTCACCAATTTTCTTCCCCAAAAAGGTGGAAGAAAAAATATGGGATTGTCAGAAGATAATGACTGAGGATTGTTATACTTGGAAGAACATAAGCCATTCTGTGTTTATATGTGTTTTTTAAAGCAACTGATGTTGTAAGGTCTGCTGAATGCCATCTTTTTGTTTCTCATAGCTTCTACGACTAAACTTGTCTAGCCAGTTTTGAATTCCCTAGCAGGTGAACATTTGCACACATGCACACGAGGCATACAACAAAGTATAAAGTTTAAAACAAAAAAAACTACTTTCAAGACAAATTGAGGTCCTAGGTTTTGACCTGATTGACCCCACGCAGTACATAAACCTTTGCGGATCTCAAATTAATCATTAAGGATTAACTTTTAATGTCCAGCCCACTGCACATGCTCTATATTTGGAAAATAACCACTCTGTCCATTTTAAAGATATTTGGGACTGCATGGACTTCAGATCCTGACAGTCATAAAAGGAACAAATGGGGTGGATTGCCCCCCCTTCTTTCACTCTTCCTCGTTTTCTTCCCTCTTCTGCAGGCAGCGAATCATGCTGGAACATTTGGTTTGATAGGATCTGATAGCCCTTACCTAGGTGACTATTCTCAATGTATGAACCTAGACACAGGAGTGTTGGCAGGATATTTGACGGTGGAAACATCACACCCAAGCATGATCCTGTCATTGCCCAAAGACTACCTCTCCAGAAAAGGGTCACTGGATAACAATCATAAGGAGGAGCCTGACTCATTTTCTTTATTCCATCTGTAACTCAGGCACCCTTTGTAGTACCAATACCACCATTATAGGCTGGACCCTTCCTTACCTATACTTCAGTACTGAATCACATGGTGTATTTACTCATTGAATCATAGGAGGAAACGGGTGAATGAATTCTAATTCTTAGGAACACTAATTGCTGTTTACTCTGTTTGCAGTATGATCGGTTTGATGTTGGGGACATGTATTGCTTTTTACGTGGTTATTGCTGATTTAGGAGCCAATTTCTTTGCTCAATTGCTTGGATTTCAGGTAAGTGAGTAACAGATTTCCAAAGCTCAGTCAATAAATAAGTTAATGGTAAATGGGACTAATATTTGAGGAAAACAAACTGACTGTTAGTTCCAAATTATCAACTGTAAGTTATTGCTTGATCATGCACTGGTTATGTTGCATTAATAAGCTGCAGTCCAGCTCTTGAATTTATTTTGGGTTCTCTGAATAAATTACGATATTGTTCATTCTTCATATGTCTCTAGACATTTACTTAAACAAATCGTCTAATCTGTTTTCTAATGAAACGCTTCTCGTAATCTATTAGATTTACTCATGGTGATTCAGTTCCTGTAATGTGTTATTTATAGCTAGATTTTATGTTCTCAAATATTTTTAATCTCCTTTTTTTCCTCTTATCAGGTAACGCAGGGATTCCGTATGTTCTTCCTATTCGCAGTGTCTATTTTTATAGTACTCCCACTGAGTTTGCAAAGAAACATGATGGCCTCTATCCAGTCCTTCAGTGCCATGGCTTTAATCTTCTACACACTCTTCATGTTTGTGGTTAGTAAATCTCTGTTGTGAATTTAATAAGTGTTTTTTTAACAATTTTAAAAGGAATTTTTCTGACTCCATCTCAGGATAGTGACTTGCTGTTTAATACACCCACATTTGTAAAACACATTTGACCCAAAGGAAAAGTAAATTTCAGGATTTTTTTGCCCTAATGATGGATGTCAAATGTTCTCTCCATTAAGCAGCTGAAGAAGTGTAACAAATAGCTTGAGTTGACAAATGTGTCAACTTTTGGATCAGAATTAAGATAAACCAATGAAGAATTTGTTCAGATCTAGGAATTCATCACCGGTCAGTAAAAACAGAAAATAAAACACTATAGAGAGCTTATGAATGAGTGAAAGCGACTGCAAAATCAAGATTAAACTATCGGGTAATAAAACTATTGCTTTAAAACCCTCAAAAGGTTCAGTATTTTACAGAGCAGATTTGACAAAAAACAGAACCATTGTGGTATTGTTACTGTTTGAACAAAGTAGTACAATAGTTAGTGCCAATCTACAGCAGTTTTCAGTGTAGAATGAGTCGCTGGAGGAAAGTAAGAGACACAAAGCTTGAAAGGAAAAGCCTGGCCTTGAAAAAGAAGGTGACGCTAGCATCCCGGTGTACACTTTTTAAACGAGTTGACATTCTTGTGGATCTTGACAGTGATTGGTGACCTTTGATTCACTGTCATTTGCTGCTACCACTTTTTTTCGTTTTGCTGTTGATCTGTATGGATCACTGATTTTTTTTCTTGGCTACAAGGTCACATCAGAGCAGTGGCAAGTCAGTGAAAGTCTGGACAGAGCAAACTGTCCTTGCCATGTGATCCATCCAGATTAGTGCCCCAATAAGGTCCCTTAATGGTGTGCAAGATCATAATTTATGAGCTTGTGGCTCATGCAAACTAATAAAAACAACTGACCGTGCAACAGGGTTTCTTCTTTGGTATTTAGAGGTAAAGATCCATTTAAAAAGGCATTTAAAAAAAGATTTGACGCATCTAGTTTCCAAATGATGAATGCAGGGTTGTGTCCACGCCAATAGCTACATGACTGTGCCACTCGCATTATAAATAAAAGGCAGCATTGCTGCTTATTCTATTTACCTAGCAAGTGGGGCTTGAAATTAAGAGCATTATCAGGATATATTGCTGAATATCCTGACCTTGAATCAAGCATTACAGATGGTGTGAATGAAGATTTAGCGACCGGTGGAAATAAAGTAATGTCATAACTGCAGTTTTTTTGGGATTTCAAACACCCAAATTCAGAATTAAAAGCCAATGTGCAATGTTATTCTTCAAAGATTACGTTATTTAAAAACAGAATTACATAATAAGAATAATATCGTTATATTTGATATAGTGCCTTTCACATCAGGAGGACATCCCAAAGTACTTCACAGGATATACTGCAAAGATACAATGCAAAATTGCGTTTATATAGCGCATTTCACTTCGGGAGGATACCCCAAGGCACTGGATGGTAGCCATTAGCACAGGCACACAGTGAATGTAGCTTTTTTTTATTTTTATTTTGTGAAAGCTGCAAAAACCCTTGTCCTGAATGTTTTATAAATTCTGTATTCTTTACAGGATATACTGTAAAGTGCAGTGACTGTATATTTTGTGGGAAAATATTTCTTTATTATTTAATAATATATTTATTATAATGTACAGTATTTGGATAGCTACAGGCCTGCTTCAAATGCTGCTCCTTAGTCAGTATGTCAGGAAATGCCCATGAGTACTGCAGGTAGGAATCTTACTCTGTTCTCTAAATGATTAAGTCTGGGAAGCTTGTAAGTGTGTGCCAAATTCACACTATGGTTCATTGGATAAGATTCTAAAACTTTGTACCCCCAAAAAGCCAGGTAGTTGCAAAGACAAATGAGCCTTTGATCAGAAATGTTGGGAATCTGATTCTATTCATGTCACATCACAAGGTCTCTTCATTTGTCTTGGATACACAGCAACAAATTAATGTCGAACTTCAGTATGGAGCTGGGTGGAGAAATCCAGGGACTCTGATTATTTTTTTTCAGAAGGCATTAGCTGAAACTCCTGAAGCAGGGGTATTTTACTTTGATCTGAAATTTGAGAAAAATAACTGCACAGCTTGTGCATTGCTTTTAAATACAAACCAGCTGTAAATCAGCAATATATGTAAGTTTATAGCTGCAGTGTGAACAGATCCTGAGAATATTTGCTGCTTGATGAGCTCAGTTTTAACAGCACCCTCGGTAAGCTGTCAATGGCTCTCTGCTTTTTAATTGCGGGTTGCTATTCTGGAGCATTACTTTACCTCGGTTATGAACAAGTGCTTTGTTACCAAATGGCTGTGTATTGTGCTTTATGTTTGTGTTGCAATTGTGGATTTGTTAGTAACTCTGTACATACACTGTTATGAGCCTTCTTAGAAGTGCACTTTTTATTAATTCCAATCGAGTGCAAGCTGTTTTAAGTATTCATGACTGGAAAAGCCCTAATATGTTGAGAGGAAGATTGTAGGGAGAGTACTCATTTTAGTTCTGCAGTGTTCAAATGGGTTTAGTTTTTATAAAGTTGAATAGGCTTGCCAGTAGTCCAAAGCCATTTCCATTTCAGCGCTTTGGGACGTCCTCCCAACGTGAAAGCTGCTCTATAAATGTAATTTTGTTGTAGTACCATAGAAGGTGTGTGTATATATTAAAGAATCGCTTTTCCTTAGTTTCTATAATACAATACTTCTATAATAACATGTCTGGGATTGCCATGCTTGAAGCATATTCTGAGAAGGATGGATTTTTGACCTTCAGTTGTTTTTTTTTCTTACACAGATAGTGCTGTCCTCATTCAAACATGGCCTTTTTAATGGTCAGTGGATGAAGCGGATCAGTTACATTCGTTGGGACGGCATCTTTCGCTGCATCCCTATCTACGGCATGTCTTTTGCTTGCCAATCGTAAGTACTCCTGTTTCTTTTTGTGACAATACGCTGCATATGTATGTGGTTTACCTACATGCTCATCAAACACTTTTTGTGCAGCAGGTAATCTGATGTAGAGGTATCAGGGTTCGGAATCAAACTTTATTTGTAGACATTCATAAAGGTCAATTGTTAATGAACTTATTTCAACTTTTAGTGGTAGCACCATCTTGAACTAGGTTGTTTCAGTTTTCTCTCACTGCATTTCATTAACTACAACATACTAATCATTTGGATTTGTAACTTCACAAAAAAAGTGCTATTTGTCCAACTTATTTTATTGCCATGCAACCTGTTTACCTGACAAATAGACTCTTAATTATATTTGTCAGGTAATCACTTGGTTGTGTGATTGAACTGTTTGAGTTAAAGGTATAATCAGTTATATATTGTTAAATTAAAATGTTTTACGTCAGCTTATATTAAAAATCTAACTTTTGTATAGTTCTGAATGTGTTATGTTCGATTTAAAATTAACCATGCAGCATTGTTACTATATTGTTGCTCCAAAACTGTAATAAGATGAAAACATGTATCTTATATGATTTGCTTTTAATATTTTTAAAGCAGCTATTGTTATTCGTGACACATGTCTGTGTACTTGTGACACTTATCTCTACATTTCACCTTTGGGTCGTGGTGAGGCAGAACCTAGAGACACAGTATCGTCAGTGTCTTCAGTATATTACACTGTGGACTCAGATCAGCTAATATGTTTATTAATAAAGTTCCATCCATTATGGAAGAAAATAAGTGCCAAGGAATATGTGTATTCTGACAAAAAGATGGACAATTTGGGAACTTTGAAATTTAGATTGTGATGGAAAAATAGTGTTGCAAATATTACATTTTTTTAAAAACGTATTGAAAAATAAAAGTAACAATTCACATAATTTATACATGCATTATATAGACAAAAGTGATAAAGAATCATTAGATATGACATTTAAATAAGGTGCCTTAAGTTGTCTCTTCCAATGAGCTGACTTTGTTAACATGACAGCCAGTCTCAGCATCAAGTCAACTGACAGCTGTGATTGACGCTGAGCATAAGTGATTGATGTAATCCATATCACTTCTGTTTATGGGTGGGATTGGTTAAATACAGAAGAAAATGAATTCCTGGAGATGACTCCAAAAAATATATCCAGACTTTTCAGTATTCATTATTATTGTTATTTAAAAAGGCTGCTGCATAAATTTGAATACACTACTATAATCCCTTTGTATAGAAATTCTGATACAAGCATGTATTTTTTGGCAAAGTATACTGTATGTTTATCGGGATCCAAATGGAAACGGACGTCCAATAGCAAGTAGTATTGAGGGCATGTCATTTAAGATGAAGGAACAATCTATTTAAACCCACAAAGCTATCAGTAGTTTGTAAAAAGCATCCAATGTTTCTTGGAAACTGATGGAATAACATAGGATGAAATGCATAGCATTTGCCTGCCGCATACATAGTCACTACACAGTAATTCCTGTGCAGCTCTTTGAGACATACTTGCTATATGAAAGTCACAATATCAAATACAATTGATTATTTGATAGCACAGCATTGTTTTTTTTAAAAAACTGTAGGTTTAAGCACTGTCACATTCTGAAATCTCACTGTACCTGTGAAACTCATTTGAGTGTTTCTATCGACCCACTGTAATTGCTGAAGCTGATCTGTGTCTACAATGTGTCTGACCTCATGACTTGGCTGGGAACTGACTAAACTCATTAAACACTCTTGAGTTCACTTTTCGCTGAAGTGATAGGCTCTGCTCACTTGCCAGTTGGATTGCAGTGACACTAGCACTTCTGTTCACCTATGATTTCAGTTATGGCTGTACAGTGTTTTACATCAAAATGTTTTTTTTCAGATGGATCGATTGTTTTTGCTATTTAGTTGGAGTGGAGGGTGGGGCATGATTCGGATTCTGCATAATTTAGTTCAAATAGTACCCTGTTATAAAGTGCTGCACTATCAACTTCCTGTGCCAGAAAATAGCTGACTCCCAGTTCATCAACTATGTTGCTTCCTGTGTATTGTGCATGTGTGCAGAAAGTGATGCCAGTTGACCTGAAGGTCAGCCTTTTTTTTTAGTGTGGGAAGCGACTAATTGTGTTGAACCACAATTCAATAAAGGCAGGATTAGTGGATTAATTTGCTGTTCATTTAATATTTAAGATAACATTCAGGTTTTACCTTTATTTTGAGGGGTAGCACTTGCTCTGAATTTACACCTTTCTTTTCACAATTTCCCCATAGCCAAGTGCTGCCTACATATGACAGCTTGGATGAGCCGTCTGTGAAAAGGATGAGCACTATCTTCACGTCGGCCCTGAATGTGGTTAATGTGTTTTACATAACTGTAAGTCTCTCAGTCGTTCATATTGCATATACCCAAAATTAGGTAACGCAACCCGGAATAAGGTAAGCAGCTCACGACACTTCAGGGAGAGAATGTGCATTCCATTCCAGATGCAGAAAACTTTCCTTGTTTGGGTGGAATGCACGTGTGGAACTCTATCTGGTTTGGATAATCTTAAGCATAGTATGATTGGTTTCTGCTTGTGTCAAGACCTGGCTAACCCCCAAAAATTACCCCAAATAAGATGCTGAGCGAAAGCTTCCGTACCTTGACAAAAAAAAGTTGTAGTACAAATGAAGTGTAAGGCGTGTATTTTAACATTGTAGACTGGTAAATAATATGAATATGGCAGTGCTAAATGTCAAAATTTAGAAGTAAGGTAAACATAGGTGACATTTTAATTTGACTTAATGCAGGTCATTTGTTTCTGTTTACATGTCTGCACAGATTATATATACTCCCTTTATGCAGTAAGTGGATTGTGATATATTTAATACTGAAATAACTTTACTCGTTCAAGTACTGGTTGACAAAATTCCCTTGAATCAGTGATCTGGATTTTGGCCATAAAATGCCAAGTCTAGAATTGTTATTGTCGTACGACGGAATAAGAAATGATTAAAATATTCAAACTGCAAGGCATTTTATTCAGAAAATATAGTAAATAAGCATGCATTCCACATTTTCAAAAAAATGCATTTACAAAAATATTAATGAAGGGAGATTTCAACATTTTAAATAAAACAGAATGAAACTGTTATTCTAAGAATTTATGGAGAATATTTTACATTTCTGTAATCATCCTTCAAAAAATATCCTGTACAAAAGGAATGTATATTTGATGTGTTACGTGAAATAAAACATGCCCGAATTTAAAAAAAGACTAATCTATATTCACAAGATGAAAACTCTCTGCATTATTGCATTACTATATCAAATGCAAGGATTATTATTATTATTGGTAACATCAATGTAAAATTCAATAAATTGAGGACAGCAATGTCCATTAAATATTTCTCTTCATGTACAGTTTAAATCAGACAATACCTGAGATGCTGATCAAACATTCTTATCTTACAGGTTGGTTCTTTTGGTTATATCAGTTACACTGATAATATTGCTGGAAATGTTATGAAGAACTTTCCTTCCAACCTGGTTACAGAGATGATCCGTGTGGGATTTATGATGTCAGTTGCAGTGGGATTCCCGATGATGATTTTGCCTTGCAGACAAGCTCTGAACACATTTCTATTTGAGCAATTGCAGGTAAATGCGCATCCTTTTCTACTTTTTTTTAAATAGAATATCATTATCCTTTTGTTGCATCTTCAAATATCAGTTTCATATTCTATTATTAACAGGGGAGATGCAGCATTAAATTTGTTGAATGTTTGAAATTAGTTAATCTCTATAAAATTATTTTGGAGAGCTGGATGTAAATGAGACTGTAATATATGCTTTCATCATGTTTTACCGGTTTGAATTTCACTGTTCCACATAACATTCTGCAGCGAACCCATATAATTCATATGTGGTGGTTTGGGTTGAATCATTTTAATTCTGTTCACGTAATATTTATGTGGACATCTGTCGCTAATGAGGAATGTTAAGCATGCTAGAAAGGTCCCCAATCTGATTCAGGGATTAACTAATAAAATGATCATGTTTTATTCAACTAAGTTTGGAGAAGGGAGAATTTAAGCATAGTGTTGAAATCTGTTATTAAAGAGAAGTATGAGGGATTTAAAATTCTTTCCACTGGTATATTGAAAGTAATATTTGTTAGAAGCATCTTAAATATTTTTTAAAAAGCCTTAAATTTAAAGAGAAATAATTCCAACACAAAGCTACAGCGTCACGTGTACCTACCACTTTTATCAGGTGGACGTCCATATACGTAAGCTGTTGTCAGCCATGGCCTGCGTCAGCGAGTGCCTATGTTGATTTAGTGAAATTGATATTCTTGTTTATGCATGTCAATATTTAAATTGAGCAGACACAAAAACGTTACCGTAGTTATTCAATGTACACAATAATTATTTTCCGGATTCATTTTTTATTAATAAATATTGAAGTGTGCAAATGGCAGTGGTTTGCATTGTAAATATATTAGAATCCGGTTATAAATCAGCTGTACTCCCCTCCCTGGTTATGATTGCACATTCATTATTGTCCTCAAGACAATCTCAAGCCATCAATATGCACCTCTGATAAGAGGTAGCACTTTGTTGGTCCCTGCTGACAGTCTGTACACTGATCCCATAATTGTATTTGCATCTTATTTCCTCCCTCCTCTAATTATTGGATTTTGTTTCAAATGGTTGCAAAGTGTCAAGTATTTCACCTATTTTTCATTTCCATTTCATTACAGCAGAAAGATGGTACTTTTGCTGCAGGCGGGTATATGCCACCTCTTCGGTTTAAGATCATTACAGCTGCTATAGTATTTGGCACCTTGTTAGTTGGAATTCTGATTCCTAATGGTAAGATGGCTTCAGCATAGATTTTTTTTAGTGTGTAAGCAAAGTTTATGATCAAAGGAAAGCACTAACTGGGATTGCAGAGCCTCCTATTGGTTATTTTGGCAATACCAAGGTCTAGAAGCTCTTGGCAAACACTTTGTATCATATTATCTGTTGTTCTAAGCAACCTTTCGCGGTTGGGAGGGTATTGGTGGATTTCTGGACAACTTGAACTCTTCTGTGATCATCTAGCAAGAGGCAAACATCCTCTGCATGACACCCTCTAACACTTAGTCGTAGTGTACTTTCAGTTGTTTGTCACAGTCTCTAGAAATAGATGTAATATAATGTCCATCAATATAATTCTGCTCTTTTTTGTGATATGTTGTGTTCGTGTTTTTATCCACTTACCTAGGAGCAACTCGTTCTCTGAATATTGCTGCAGTAGGTCCTAAATTTATACTAGCAGGCGATTGCATTGTACCAATTTCTGTACTACAAAACACAAGTGGTTTCAACTTTAGTTTCTAAAATCTCAAATACTTGCTTATTTGTCTTTATCTTCACTGCTAAAATATCCTGTTAAGGCTAAATGATCAACGTTGATAATTTCCGGACCCATTGTTTGCTCTAATAATCTCATTTAATGACCACATTAAAAGTTTGCTCAGTACACTGTATTTTATTGACAGGAGCAACTTGCTTTGAAATTTATATTTAGGTGTGAAAACCAGTGTCTAAAATGTGCATCGTTTTCAGTTACAAATGAAGACTGGAAGTTTTAATCTGGAATTGGAAACATTTCTTGACAGATAACCTTATTTGTCAGCTACTTGTTGTAGTGAAGAGGTGACACTTTGCTATTAAAAAATTGCTGCGGTAATTGAAAACATTACCATACCTCCTTCCTCATTGACATTGATATGCGGTTCTCGAATGTCTTTTATGCAACTCTATTTGACGGCTATAATATTGAGAAAGCATATCTCCAAGACTGTCAAGAGGCCATTGGTGTATTTGTGTTTGGCAGCTCTGATGTCGATGATTGAATTCAAAATTATATTTGATTACAATCTCACTGACAATACTTTTCTACGTGGAGTTGAATCTAAATCGTTGAACCCAAATACTTCTCGCCTTCATTGCAATTTTAGAAACCAATTTAAATGTTTTCTGTTTCATCTGATCTATATCACATGTAGACTAAATATCACTGGTTTGTGTGCGGTGAATTATTTCTGTACTTTTTTTGATAACTCCTGAAATAATGTGAAACATCTGGGATGGATACATATACAAGACCAGACAGGATCATTTTGATTCTTCTGGCTGGCCAGCTAGTCCTATTTCCTAAAATACTATTGCTCGATATCTCATCTCAATAACCACTTGCATCATACATCTTGGAGTCCTGTAGCTCAGTGGTTAGAGCACTCGCTTTGCAAGTGAGAGACCTGAGTTCAATTCCAGGCAGAGGGCGAAACCTTGGGCAAGTTTCCTTACTCCACACAGAGCCTAATAATAATCCCTCCAAAACCAAAAACAATAATAAATTGGTCATTTTCAATCCCCGACTGTTTGTGGGACATTGCTGTGCGCAATTGGCTGCCGCATTTGCCCACAAATATACAGTCAATTCACTTTACAGTGTGTTCTGTGAAGCGCTTTGGGACGTCCTCCCGACGTGAAAAGCGCTATATCAAATGCAAGGATTATTATTATTATCAATCTAATTTTGACACTGTCCATTTATCTTCAGTCTCCCTGACTAAACACCTCTGCATATTCACTGCTCTGCATTTAGAAAGCAGAGCAGTTAATATGTAGTAGAGTAGATAAATCTAAACTCTGATCAGCTGCCCCATTTGAGTTTGACACCGTGACCACCTGACAAATACATTTGTTACTTGTGAGCTATCGAATGAATGTCCCAGTGAAACTATTTTCTGATTCTGCCTTGATAAATAGTATCATGCCAAAAATTGGTGAAACAGTTAATGCGAGATATGTATTTGAATGGAAAAGTTTTTTTTAAATCTAAGAAAGATGTAGTATATTACAGTCTACCACAACTTCTGTTTTATACAACCGTTGTCTTGATTGCTGCATGCTTGAGGTTGCATTGCAGCTCAATGTTATTCCAGCTTCATTCTCTGAGGTTATAATTTAATATGATCTGCACTGTGCAACTGAATTACTATATTGAATTCACTCCGTGATACTCATTCAAAGCATTTGTAACATGCAGTGAACACGTCAACCAATTTGCACACAATAATGTCTCACAAATAGCCATGAAGTGAACGACCAATTTTATCTGGAGGATTATTGGCTGGAAGACTGGGAGAAAACTCCTTTCTCTTTTCAAATGGGATCTTTAACGTCCCCTAAACAGGCAGATGGGACCTCAGCTTATCATCTGATCTGGAAGCTTGTACTACTCATAATGCAGTGCTCCGGCATGCTGTATTTGAATATCTGCCTAAACTATAAGGTTAGATTCCTGACCAAGAAGTAAGAGTACTACCAACTGAGTCAGTCTGTCATCTGGCAATACTTTTCATTTCTAAGTGTTATCTCCCATTCTCTCAGGAAAGAGGATGGGAGGAGGTTATAAATGTCTGTTCCTTGATCACAGATATTCTATGTACCCTGACAAAAGGCAGACTGCTGAAATGCACCAATTTTGGATTGTGGGGCCATTATGAGAACAGTTTTGCAGTGAGCTCCTCGGACATTTCAGTGAATTGTGGCGGTTTTAGCACCGAAGGTGTCCATTATGCCTGTGCTGTGCAGCCTCCCCCACTAGAGTTATTTCTCGTGGTTATTTGCTGGCAGTGCAATGTGATTTCATAAAGGGATTTCTCCGGATGGTTGTAACACTCGAGTTCCTTCCAACAAATCACTGCAGGACTTTAATTTTTCAAAATGGCTCACTGCAAAGTGCTCTAGCAGACAGATATGATTGAGTGTAGTGCTCTTGTTTCTCAGAAGAGTTCACTGCAATGCTCCAATTTTTTTTTGCACTGGCGATGCCCTGGTTTCCTAAAATGACTGTATGATTTTGTCTCTGCACTGGTCACTTTTTCCCAACAATTTCCAATAACAATCACAGCATATTTATGTCTTCTAAAGACCTCTCAATGGCACACTTTGTTTTGCCATTATATTCTCATCACAATGATTTGATGTGACGCTGTCTTTCCTTGCAGCACTACACTGTAATGTCTGTTGAGTTAGCGTAACAAATCTTTTTTTTTCCCTTACAGAAATTCATTGTGACAATTATTTCTCATAGGTATTTGCTGCAGCCCTTTTGTTTTTTTTCTGGATACTTGATACATTGATATAGGCTCTCCTATCAACTTGCTGATCTTTTGCTCTCTGGGATTCACTGGAAATCTTTTCCCACATCTTTATTCCTTGTAAATATTTGCTGGGACTGTTATTTTTGATGGGCTTTCACTGTAAGGCTTGAGCCACTCTTCTTTCATGCTACGAGCCAGAACCTGTGGCCTCAATAAGTTCTAGACATGGTTAGATTTTAACTAAATCTGAGAATAATTTCTTCTCATCTGGCACTGGTTTAGTAGGAGGTTTCTGTTTATATGAACATGCACCTTAATCTTAGGTAATTTGCCCAAAGATAACTTGAAATACTGAAAGTCATATGTAAAACCAAAGCGCGAGTACTAAAATGGCATAAATTCTTTTACAAAACAAAGATTTCTAATTGAATTCCTTTCAAGTCTACCTTTCAGAAAGTTGAGCCATTATCTTTTACATTGTGATTTGCATAGACTGTAATCCTAGAAATGACAGCACGTAGGAGGCAATTGGGCCCATCAATGGAGCTGCCTATTTTAATTCCCTCTTAAAATCTCTCAACTTGAAGCATACAAAATTTGCACCCCTCATAAGATCATACCAGTGGGCAAAAAAAAAGCTAAAGATCTATTTTTTAACCACTGAATACGGACAGCATTGAATTATTGTGTTTCAGACTCAAATTCACTAAGTGCAGAACTGGTGTCCATAGTATACAGAAAATAAATACTGCAGCAGCCCAGAAAAGTTGTTTCAGTTTGGTGAAAGTATGGAGGGCTTTAGTGTCAAATTACCCTGCAAAATACCTGTGTAATTGTTTGAAATGGGCTAAATCAATTGGTAAGCATTTAACCCTGTTTACACTTTAATTCCAATTTATGACCATTTATGACCACAGAAGAGTAATTAGCAGCAAATTGATTAATTGCCTCATTGTTAAGCATGCTGATCTGTTAATACATGTGCTGTTTTACAGAACAGTTTAACTTTCCTTAATTTTCGTTGACTACTAGCAGGAAAATTGGCATGAATGGTTGGGTTAGGGGGTGGCGGGGGCAGGGGAGAGTGAGGAAAGAGAACTGTGATTTACTGGTTCTATTTGCCGGCTGCATGTGTGTTCAGCATTTTGCACAATGCTATGCTCAGATTATGCTATATAAATCTTGATTGAGAATATTTGGCTATAATGTTAGCCATAGAATATAGGGGTGACTCCATTCGAGATGTTGCTTAATTTTGGAATAGTCAGTAAAGTTTTAAGAAGAATTCATTTTTGTTTTGTAACAAGTGTTGTCTCTTGTCCATCAGTGGAAACCATCCTTGGATTGACCGGTGCCACCATGGGGAGCCTCATCTGTTTCATCTGCCCAGCGCTTATTTACAGGAAGATCCAGAAGAATGGTTTCTTTTCACAGGTTAGTTTCACTAAACGGTTAGATCTCAAACGGTCCCCTCCACATTCAGTATGCCCATTTATTTAATTAGCCCACACAAATGAGGATGGAGGAAAGAGGCTGCCTGTTGAGCCTGCTCCACTGTTTTCTTAGATCATGGCTAACATATAGCTTGGTAGCATTTTCCTGACTTCTTGACCACAACAAGCTACAAAAACTACTAAAATGTGATGTATGTATCTCATACAAACATTCCTCCAATGGATTCTAAAGCTTTTGTTTGCATTCCCTCCCCATCATCCCTTGAGTAGGATTGGTGGATAATGTTCTCATGGTAAGTCTTTCGTTGGTGCAACTGCTACCAAATATAATGCTCGTTTTCCTTTCTTGATTAACTGACACCACCTTTCAACAGGCTGTGAATCCGCAATTAAGATATTTGTTTTCGTTTCAGCAATTCAATTGAGTACTCCCTCTCCACCCGCCAAATGGTTTTGCTTTGTACAGTACCTGTTTGGTAGCACTGAGCTTTATAGACCCTCTCTGAACATTGCAGTTTGGAGAGGGCCAATAATGGATCTTTGGGAACCATTCAAAAAGTTGATATGGTTTCTTTATTAATAAGCGAACCATAAATAATGCATGCTGCAATGAACTCATGCTCTGATTGTGTTATAATGAGGCACTGTTGTACTGTTAAAATACCTACAAAACATCAAGAGTCCTATGCAATGTTTTTCTTAAATTACTTTGTGAATATGGATTTTGATGCCACTGTACCAATTCTTCAGTTTTAGCCAGCCGGGGTTGCTTTACAGGCATTTGTGACATATGTTGATTCACAACCATCAACAAATTGGCCTGTAAATGGTGAAATAATCATGAACTGGTGTTTATAGATGTGTAGTTTTGAATTAAGACTTGATTTGAGCTTCAGAAGATTAGATAGAAATTAGAATCACAGAAATTTACAGCACAGAAGAGCACATTTGGCCCATCGTGTCTGTGCTGGCTCTTTTAAAGGGCAATCCGTTACATATCATTCAGAAGCAGTGTTGTGATTTGGAACTTCCCAATCCATCATGTACACTAACCCAGAACTGACGAAGGTTGCGCAGCTAAATCCTGTGATTGAGAATCTCTCGCACTCGTGCACCAGTTAAGAAGCAACTGATCTGGCCTTGCTTTTAGATTTAGGTCTCTCAATCCTGACTTTCAGAAGCTGTTTAAAGTCATCATAATAAACGGTGCAGTATTGATTTCAGTCCTGCAATGACACTGATTTGAAGTCAAGATTGTGACTGCTTTTTTAATCAATTTCACGTGTAGAATTTAGCAAAAAAAAGGTCCTAGTCTAGTATATTTCAAAAGATAAATAAAACCACTTGTTTTGTGAGTACAGTAGCACCAAAATGTTTATCCTTCCAGGAATCTATTCCAGGGGTTGTTCCTGTTGTCTAATCCTTTGAGGCATGTTGCAGCATTTTCATTTTTTCTTGCTACAAATGGAGTGTTTTAATTAGGTTTAAGATCCTTATTCTCTAATCCAATTCAATTTTTTTCAGCAGATAAAATGTTTCCTTCAGTGGTGAATTTTCAAAAGGGTTTCTACCACTAATTAGAAACCTAATACAGAAGGTAATTAGCTACTCGTTTCCTAACCTGTAATTTGAGTTTGAGATTGAGTCTGAGCTCAAGCCTGGCCTGTCACAATCGGGATGCTGTCATTTTTTTGACCTGGTCACTTTGGAGGACTATTCTGCAACAGTGGAGTGTTTCTTCTTGGTAGGGCAGATGAAGGGTGGGGAGGGTGGGTGGGAGATTAACTGGATTTATATCACTGCTGCAAGAGAGCCTTTCTGTTGACTGACATACAGTGACATTTCAGCAGTGCATTGTCTACACTGCTCTGCCATCTTAACTCAAGAAGTCTCTACAGAGATGAACAGTTCTTCCACTGAGGGATAAAAAGCAATATCTGGAAATAGAACATTTCAGAAATTCTGTGTATTGTCATCACAAGCCCCATAGTGGTCGCCAAAGGTAATTCCATTCAAGTGGACAAAATGGCAATGAAAGCAAACTGGTATTTTCATTCCCTTGCAGTGGCTTGAATTACATCAGTGTCAAACTAGATTTATACATATGTTTTTTTTCCCCTTTCCTTGGGGAAAAAAGTTGTCCTAGGGCAGTTGCAACCAAAGATGTTCACTTTGCTACTATATTGGCTGCCCTAAATGACAAAAGCTGCAATGTGTCCCTTGCAGCTTTTAAAAATACTGGCATCCTGTTTTATCATACAGTCGATAGAAAATAGTGTTTTGTTTATTTCTAAAATGTATTATTGCAAAACTAAGTTGGAGAAAGAGGATGAATCACAGCGTGCTGTTTGATTTGGAGAATAACTTCAAGGTGACGTTCCTATTTGGGGGAGAGCTATTGTGGTGTTTAAAGACTTAACAAAATACTCCTACATATTGGGCTTAGCGGAACAAATGGAAATGAACTGAATTTAATCCTGTTGGTTGTTCAGCAGTTAATGTGGATTAGCCTTCGCACGTTGTCCTCAACTGTTGGAATTCATGGCCGCTGGCAGTCAGTTACTGTGCAGCTTCTGTCATTTTCTTGTGAATTTGTGGCCTTCGCTTGTTTTCCATCTCTTTCCCATTTTCCTCGATACGAAATGACAGTACAATGTGCTTTTTGTTTAACGTGTCACATTGAATAGTTCACTTGTGGGATCCAAGCCGGAAGGTATAGCGTCTTATTGGTCTGCTTATTTTAATTGAAATGTAACGGGTTTAAAGATACAATTGAAAAGATCTGTTTCCTTGATGGTGGTTTACAACATAGACTAACCAACAAAGGCAAATGATTTTAAAAATAATTTCACATTAGCGTAGTGGTGTCAGACCACAGTTTGAAAACAAAAAAATGGCTTTCATCTCATCACTTAAACTTTGTTTACATTGTATAGTTTATAGTTAGGCAGCTAGCTTGCTATATACATTGATTTTTCTCAGTGATCTGATCTTTTAACACTTAAAATGTTCATTTTCCTGAGAATTGAATGATTTAATTGTTGTGGTCAACAAGATCGCCACAGCAGATGGCTTTGGAAAGTGGGCCAATCCCCACCGTTTTGGGAATTGGCAGGAATTCATTCGTGTACGATGGGTAGTTCTCTAGGGGACGGGGATGAGAGCTATTGAATTGTCCAGAAATTAATCCAACCTTTAACTATTTTTTAGACTAGGGGGAACGTATTATTTAATTTGAAATCCGCTTACAAGTAGACAGACCTGGAGGAGAATAGTGTTCATAGTTTAATACCTGAACAATGAACACTTGAACAATTAGTGCAATGTTGCACTTTCATTGTAGTGCAAATCCGTAATATATACAACTATGTAATGCAAGGATGTGTCTGCAATGCCAATTCTCACTGATGAGCCAGACAATATCTTGGATAACTGTAGATCTCTGTGGCTTTGCCAGACATGTATCTTCAAAACTAGTTCAGATTCAAGAAGACAAATCTTGGCTCTTTCCAAGGGGCATTTTCAAACCTGGTACTTGCATTGATTGGGAGACTGAATTAATTTACTGGATTCAAACGCAGAATCTCTGACTCCCAAGACCAATGCTCAATCAATTAAGCTACCCAGAAGATTTTTGATCTTCCTTCATAATCTACAAGAGCCTTCATGGTCTGCCAGGCTGTTTTCCAATTCAGAATGGCCTACACCACTCACTTAATGCATGACCCTTGTTCACTGACTTGAATTTCTTGCAGAGACAATAGAAAATGTGTTTTTGCCTATTCTCTATCAGTTTTGTTTATTCCCAAGATTTAAGATAAAATGATTCAAACTTAGTCGTTGAGTTCTTCAATTCGCCACCGCACAGTAAAAAGGAACCTCTGTAATAAATTAAGAGACAATAAAATTGCCAATTACCTTTGATAGTCTAGCCTCTGTTGAGGGCAACCTACTGCCTGGATGCTGACATGAGCCAATGAAGTTTCCAAGAGTCATATCCATGTCGGGGAGAAAATCATTACAGTCAGTTTGATGCCCCTCAAAAGTATTAGTGTTCAATAATTCTGTGTTGTGGGGTTCATTTTGATAAGAATATAACCATGTCCCATGTGTTTTTCTGCAGATTTCACAAACATTTCCTTTACATTTTCCATATTTTCCACATATTTATATTGACCCTGCTCATTAGGCCTGTCCCAATTGTGGCAGGTGAATGTGAGTGACAAGGCAGCCTTGAGACTTTGTGAAAAAAAACTGTAACCATCTGTTTGGGAAGCCAATGCTGTAACCATTAGCTACTGGAACACCCTTTATTTAAAAAATGCTACTGCTTACAACCTTTCTTTGAAGTAAAAATGCATTGGTTGAATTGGTTTAAACTTGTGAAATGAAGGATGGTATTTCATTTAGGCTACACTTCTCAGAGGATTCTTGTGTTGTGCTTCATTGAACAGATGGTAGGTGTGTCTGTGCCAGGCTATTGTACTGTATTTATGGGATTTTAAATTGTAATATTTATGAAAATTGGCATTGCGTACTGTAATAAATTGAAAATGCATCATGTTACAATTTAAAAAGAAATTGCTAAAAGAAAACCATGGTTTTATGGCGTATTATTTGCTGTGAATTTCTGTTTCCTGCCTTGAAAACCAGATGTTTCTCTTGGCTTAACAATTGCTGTATTTCTGCCAAGAAGCAGTCAACTGTTTTTGTGGCAGCTGCGCTCCAGCTTTTTGCTCCGTACTCTTAACAGGGAAGCAGCACCCATGCAGAAAAACTGTTACTGTTGCAAAATAATTGACACATGTATTAAGTTGGGGCTGAACTGAATTGGTCGAACGTTGAAACCACACGAAAAATAACGAATTTTAAGCCTTTGTGTCCGACCACAATTGCACTTTTAAATGGCAGTCATTCTGCAGCAAGCGAATCCCGAGATAAGAGGATTCTTATGTTAAGTCTTTAATTTAAAGCCATAATCTAGAAAAAAAATTATGAAGAAATATTTTTCTTTTTGGGGGGCAAGATTTAAGAGGTTATATATAGGGATTTTGATGACATAACAGTGGGAGTGAAATAATAATAACGAGGTAGAAGGAAATTACTTGGTAGAAAAACTGTTGAAGGTTCTGATTGTTCCATAAAAGGCAAGACTACAAATCATTAAATCAACAGAATAACAGCTGAGCTGATTGTGTTCTTTAGTAAGCGTTGTTAGGATCACAGGATCGTATGACAGAAATAACCCTATTTACTGTTTTTATACATTTACTAAACTTGTGCAGATGAGATGCGTATACTGTACATCTGATAGTCTACATTTAGAAAAAAATGCTCATGCGTTTTTCTCTCACTCGTATCTCTTTACAAACCGGAATCTGGAACATATATATACAAGCATATTATTTCATGGGAAAAATCTCTCCAGTATCTGCCCTGAACATATGATAATAGGTGCACAATGCAAGGTTTTTTTTAACAACACAACAGCATACCCACAATAGTACTACAATAATAAAATTCACCTGAAGGCAAAAGTAGCTGAAACTAAGACTGACTTATTCTTTCTATTAGTTGTTGTTTCTACTGACTTCGTTCTCCAGTGTTCCAAGCCATAATTATATTATCAAACTTGTATAACAATCTTTGAGAAGTAATTTCCTTTTCCAGGAAACGATGATGAATATTGAATACTCCACATTGCAAATCACAGGCTGGTTCAGTTAAATAAGAGTGCTATTCTAATATCCCTGATAATTCTGCCCCAGAAATGTTAATGGTTCTCGAGATGTAATGTTTTCTCTTGCTCATTTAAACGCATAAGTATTTATGTCTATTAGGATGCTGATCGTTTTGTCGTATGTTGGGCACTGATAATTGTATTTCATCATGGTCTTCTACCCTCTCTAAAATAAATTAAACTGGACCTTATAAAGATTTATGCATGTGGATGACAACTTAATGTTGTTTTAATGTTGATTGTATATTTGCGTTTCCTCAGATTATCCTCTCGGTGGGTCTTGTTATTCTGGTAATCAGCACACTTACTACTCTGACTACAACAAATGAACAAACAATAACCCCCGAGAAGCTTGCACAGGATACAAATCCAGAAGAACTGAAGAATGAAAATGACCTGCAGAGAATTTCAGGTAAAAGAACAGCATCCTTGATTGATCTTCTTTGATTTTAAAGTTGATTATTACACCCTTGTTTGGATGAGTGCTCATGCAACCGAACTGTTCAACAATCATCAGTTATAAGATTTGGGTGAAACATTTTATGATGCAACATAAATACACCAGAAGGTGACAATCTGTGGCACTATGATTCCTTGATAATGTACTAATATTCAAAATTGATTTACACTTATGGTTAATGAATGGCTCTTTTATAATTTGTGTGCGTTTACACACAAGTTGTTGAGAGACCCACTCTGTGACCTATTCATTCTTCAATTTGCCCTTCATTTGCCCTCCCAGTCTTTGATAGGATGATATATAGGAATGTTCATTATTCTTCTGATACCTCAGAATGTATGGCGCAACATGATCTTTGAATCAGGGTGAAGAATGAAGTCACCTTCAGGTTGGAAGGGGGAAACCCATTGATGATCAAGCATTCATGACAGAACTTCAAAATTGTTGGATGTTGTGACCTCTTGGGATAATTAATGTTTTCTAGTAAAGCAATATGTGTTGATATTTTAAAAAAAAGTAACCATTGTAGCAATTGCCTTTTAGTTTCTCGAATTAGAGGAACTTCCATTATTCTCAGAAAGCATCTCCTGAACTGTATTCACTTTTGGGACCAGCCAGCTGGATCATAATGGTCTTTTCCGGTCCTGTACATTCCTACCTTCCTATGTAACTTGCTTCAAAGGAGAGGATAAAGGGCTAAACAGCATTTTTCAGAAAATGTTGAAAATATGGCAGCCATGCTGAGATTTGATGTGTGTTTTACTGGCAAAACTGACATACTTTAATACAAAAAACTAAATACAGTACACTAATGTTACATTTTAACTTGTAATAGCACCNAAAAAAATGCTGAAAGTAAGGACAAGTAATTATACGTACTTACCAATAGCCCATGTGTACACATGGAGTTTTAATAAAATAAATATGTGGAGAATAACTTATCACAGGGATGGTTATAAGGCAGTTATATCAGTGGTAAGTTGGGCAATAAAATACACCACAAAAACAAAGAGTGGTTTAGATATTCGATCCTTCGACTGAGTTTATTAAACTAATTAATCCCAAATATTTTTTTCAATAAAAGTATTCTATGTAATATTATGAGACAATTTTAGTTAGTTTATTATATATTCTATTTTTGACAGCACTGTATATTCTCTACTTGGTCATACAGAGATAGCATGATATACAGGTGATATAATTACTGCAAGTTAACTGAGGATATAGATTTGATTCCCAGGATTTGGATGACATTACTGATATGTGTTAGACTTTTAAATGTACATTTCCAGAGCTCCTCTGTGGAGTCCTGAATACTGCTTGTTTTCAACCAGTCTATATTTTGATGTGATGCTTGTATGCTTGTCAACAAGATTACCTTTCAACCTACCTCGTGTTGTGACATCAACCTCTTCACAAATTGAATGTAGGCTAGGAGGCTATTTCCTTCGTTATGCCACTCCCATCTGAAAATGTAGCAAATTGTAGTTCTCCCTCTGTTGTACACATACCATCATGTATCATTGCCCAATCCGGAAGAACACCACTAGGTTTTCTGCTTGATGCAGCTGGTCAGATCTAGGAGGCACGTGACCGCCATGAATTAACCTTTTGTACAGTTTTCTGTCTGAAGATGGAATGGTGGCCAATTTCTTGCAATGCTTAATGTGACGAGCTTATTTGAGGTGATTATTATGTGGATGAAAGGGTAATAAAGCTGAAAACTCAGGTCTTGAGGCTACATGGTATTACCTGATGGGCTTTACAATATGTTTATTTGATGCCCAATCAATCCGTTTTAATTACAAGTAATTTACTTCTTCTTGTCAAATTTGAATCTTTACTCCAAACCTGTTTTTTTTTTAAATTCTGTTCCTCCTCCTCCTGTCAGTTCTTTTTTTAAAAAAGTTACGATTCAAACTGGTGAATAGGAATTTGGCCTTGGTTGTACAATTTCATTTTGAGAAAAATGATTAGACCAAAAATGACTCCATTCATTTCCACAGATTAGAATGAGACTTTGAAGAAAACGTCATGTGACAGTAGAACCTAAAGAATGTGGACTTAAGCCTCAAATAATTTAGAAATCTTAAGGATGACATTTCAGAAAAATTAAGTGCGTTGTTTCAATTGTCTCGGATCAAATCAGGCATGCAGCAGTTCTTCCAGCAAGAAATGTTATAGCCTGGAACCATTTAACCTTGTAGAAAGTGTGCAAGTCATCTGGTTAGATAATTTAGATTTGAAATTCTCCACATAAAATTTAGATTGTGGCTATGTGATTAGATATTTCACACTGCACAGTTAGTATAAAATGTCTGGGAAAGCTATGAAATTTATTTACTAAAGTTCCGAAATAATCATTCTAATTTCTTGTAATAACAAAGTACAACTGCTCTCTTTTCTGTTAAGCCAACTTGAAACAGTGAAAAATTCATTTTTTTATTGTTGTTGATCATTATGCAAAAACACTACTGACTATAATCTTACAGCGGTGTAAACAACCTTTGTCGGCCACAGAGAGGTGTTGCAATTTCTTCAGCTGGCTAGAGATCTTGATCATTAATACGGTTCTTTTAAGAATAGTGAACTGTGTGCTAAGCTTATTTTGAGGACAACCCTTTCAGCTGCAGGCTTGTCATCAAGGACTTTTTGAGCAGGTGTTATGTGACCCTGCCTTGACCTCCACCATCTGTGTCCTGTTTTCTTCTGATGCAAAAAGACTACAATTCTACATTCAAAAGACGTAAACTTAAACCATGCATCCGGGGGATTACACGAACATTGGGGTTGTCACAATAATTGATTATCAAATTAACAAGCACTGATGAGATACAATATTGATTATCTTTAGCACATTGATGACTGTGTAATGTGATAATTGTATGAACTGTGACAGTAATTGTCACTGTGCTAATTGTATCTAACTCTTTTCACATGGTCTGCCCTGGCTTTTCTGAATGGAATTCCAATGCTTTTTCTTTAGGGTTGAAGAATGTGATTGTGAATTGAGTATACCCTAGTTTAACATTGTAAGCCTGCAAATATTTCTGGTATTCATTGTGAATAATTCTCACCTTATAACTGCACTGCTAGGCAAGGTTAAACGTTCCTCGTGACAAATTGTACAATCATTTTGAAAAATTAAACTCTTATCGACTGGTAGATGCATGTGCCAAGGAGCAGTCTCAGCAAGTAAAAGAGTTTCAGTTCAAAATTGCCTGCTTCTAACCACTTGGACTCCTCCCTTCTGAGATGAGGGTATCTTCTTTCTGACTTATTTTAACTTTAGAGATCAAAAAAAATCTAGAACTTCTTTTTGCATGGCAGACATTTGTTCCAACAGAATTAACGCACAATTCATTGTTTACTTCCAACTGCCTGTGGGTTTCAGGAGCAAGCAGCTAAAGGAACAGGATCAGCAGCTGAAATAGTTCAGTGATCTAATTGTACACAGGATTTGGCAGAATTAGAATCAAAACCCATTGTTCTTTTGTGACGCAGAGCTTGGTATAAATTTTGAGGCTATCCAGGAGCCATGTAAAATAACACAATTGTTTGCTAATGTCTGTATAACCTGTTGGCACACAAGGAAACATTGTCAGGGTCCCATTGGATTTATTACACAACGTCAGAAAGGTTGTTCAGGACGGTACACCTGTTGGATAAACACCCATAGCCACGAAGGTGTGCCTTCCTGGAGCTTGTACGATAGTATGTGTCCAAAACAAATGTGCATAGATTGCCACAGTGCTGTGTGTATGCATGTGTATGCATGCATGAGATTTAAACACTAAACATGATTGATTGACCTTCGAGCCCTCGTGTGCAAGGAAGTAGTTCCTAATATCACAGAGTCCAGGCTGTGGCCTATATAAATTACCGATTTCCCATTTTGAAAATACATGTGGACTGAAAGTGCAGTGAAACAAATGTTGAACCTGGTTTTCGGACTCCAGAGTAACCAAAATGAATTTTGTTGCAGAATTGACCTCAAGTGTACAATAACACCCAGTACAGATGTTAACGACCTCTTAATCAGCAGAAGATGCAAAGGAATAAGTACACATTTGGTACAAAATAGTACAAGCAAAAAAAGCAGATATTTTTGAAATGGTCAGTTTTGCCAGGTGCAGCGTAATAGAATGACATCTGACAGGCAAACCCCAAGCCTTTAATTCCCTTTGGATAATTTGGTTGCCTCCTGAACTTTTGAACAGATTTTAAATAACACGTCCAGATCTGCAGGTCACCTTATGCAAAGTATCATTGAAAACAATGGAACTCACTTAGGTTTCCGAAGATAAAGCTTGCAGTACTGCCAAACTACATGGTGCAAGTATTAAACCGTTTGGACCAAAAAAGGTTGCTTGTCAGAACAATTATACATAATATTTAAAAGCCATTTGGGACTAATTACCACAGTGTAACAGCAGTGGCTTCTTGTGCAGGTTAATTTGCCTTACTGATTTCCATAGAAGATTAGAATGGGCACGTGAGATCCTTTTTATTAAAAAAAATGTTTTAGCTTTATTCTGCAGCCTTTGATGTCTTCATCAGGAATGGCCAAATAATCTGCAATTATATTAAAAAGGACATACTGTTACGCTTGTCTGTTACTGTGTCTGTAAACTGATGGTAAGACGCAGCTTAGGAAAAGATATTGTGTGCAGAACCACCACTGACATTCCTGCACAAGGCTCTTAACTCCAGGGAAGGACAGATATGTCCATTTATAACCTCTAGGATCAGTGGGTTACATTTCCCATTAATTGGAGACAAGTACATAATTTTTTTTGACCAAATCCATCTTTCATTTTATTAAAAAAAAACATTTTTAGCCTTATTCTGCATCCACCTCTATTTTGTTAAAGTTACACCCCTGGTAATTACCCTGGTAATGGTAATGGTAATGAGAAATACAGGTATTTATGGATGGATCTTTTCCATAG